TTGAAGCAGGGTAGCTCTGATTTCTGCTATGCTTTGTAAATATCTGATATTTCATTTGATTCACCTGTGTCTGCATTCCATCTTGCTCAAGTAGTGCTGGGGTTATAACTGTGTGCTTTTGTATCTGAATATTTATTTATTTATTTATTGGTTTTTCAAGACAGGGTATCTCTGTGTAACAATCCTAATTATCCTGAAACTTACTTTGTAGACCTCAAAGAGATCTACCTGCCTCTGTCTCCCAAGGGCTGGGATTAAATGAATTTGCCACCATTGTCCAGCATACCTGGATTTTTTAAAATTATTTTATTTTATTTTCTTATTTTACATATCAACTACTGTTGCCTCTCCTTCTCTTCTTCCCCCCACATTACTTCCCCCCATCTCAGGCCCATTCACTCCTCACAGGGGTAAGGCCTCCCTTGGGTCAACATCAGATGACACACCAATCTGGGGCAGGACTAAGCCCCTCCCCGCTGCATCAAGACATCTCACCATAAGGAATGGGCTCTAAAAAGCCAGTTTGTACCTGGATTTTTAAAAGTGGATTCTGGGGGATTAAACTAAGTTTCCCAAGCCTTTTCTGAAAGGGGTTTTATCTACTGAGCCATATTGAAAACCCATTTTACTTTAAAACAAAGTGTTTATTTTTATTTTTAATTATGTGTGTGTCTGCATTAACCACTATCCACTTCAAAAAGAATCTTCTTTGACCAAGGTTGAGAGAAATGCAAACCTTATGCATTTAGAGTGCAGAATAGAACTTAATAAAGAGAGTCACATGTTAAACAATGACATTACAATCAAAGATGTGCTGCATATGTGACAGTGGTGCCATAAGATCATAATGCAACCAAAAATTTTCTATAACCTAGTGACACCATTGCTGGTGTAACTTCAGAGGGCAATGTATCACTCACAAGTAAACCCATTTCTTTCCAATTATTTAAAAATAAAGCAATACATAGTGTGTAAGGCTTTTCCTGGGGAGCACAGCACACACACATCTATTCCTCCTAGATAGGGAACTCACAGACCAAAGTAACTATTGCACCACAAATCAGATCCATTGAGACCATGAGTTTTTGTTGTGATTACTTACAGGAGCAGAGATGACTCCAAACAGCTGCATCACCAAAGCCCAGCTTAACATGAGTGACAAGTCATGAAAACAATATACTCAGAGCTCTCTGTATGACCTCTGGCAGCTAGACAGGTTGGAGAATCACCTCTTGATAGGTAGTTGGATTATTCTCCTCTTCCAGCAGCTGTTTATTCTTTCTACATCCTTGGGAAGGGATCCCTATGAATCCTGTAAGTTTCAGCTTTCCCAGCCATGTGAAGTTTGCTTAGTTCCCAAGTCTCCTGAGACCCCGACTCCTTCCTTGTGGGAATGTTTCAACTCAGAGTGAAACAATCCATGTGGGACAATTATCAGCAACCATGCTAATTAAGCCAACCAAGAATATAAGAATGCTTTAATAGTAGCCCAACCAAGAGTAGGCTAATATCTCCAAAATCTCTCTTGATGCCAGAGCTCAGGGGTACAGTGTTTTTAAAGACAAAACGCACAATTACATCAGTGTTAGGGAATTTACAACAGTGAGCTGGGGTGGAGAAACCTTGCAACATCCATCTTTTTTTTTTCAGAGCTTAGCAGTATTTTCCAGACACCATGATATAGTGGGTACCTGTTCCACCTAAGATCTTGAGGTACCAGCCCCTAGGGCATGGAATCGGGACTAGTTTAAGACCTGAGGGGCACGTATGCCTCACTTTCTTCTCTCACTCATGGGTTTGGATGATGTGGATCAGAACTCTATGATGATTTTTCTTATCCTGTTTAGTGAGTTTTTCTTCCCAATTTTTAATATGATAAACTCTATTCCCCTTAAGCAGACTCCCTTGGATTTCTTGTTATGTCTGGTGCCCAACATAGGGCACAAACTCACGACCCTGAAATTAAGAGTCTCATACTCTACTGACTAATTTAACATTATATATGCAAGATGCAATCTTAAAAGAATACAAGAAATGAAATTTGGCAGATGGATGTGTTTTATTTTGCAGAATTTAGAAAATTAAAATTTATACACCATAGCATTGATACATATTCAGGATTTCAATGGGAAACTCCTATGAGTTCTGAAAAGGCTGATTCTGTAATTACACACCTATTAGAAGTTATGGCCATCATGGCAATACCTGTACAAATTAAGACTGACATTGCTTCAGCATATGTCTCGAGTAAAATTAAATAGTTTTGCCTACTACAATATAAAGCATATTACAGGTATACCACACAATCCCACAGGCCAAACAGTCATAGAAAGATCTAATCAAACTTTAAAGAATATGCTAAATAGAAAGATAACAATGATCCCTAGAAATAGATTACATAACGCTTTATTAACCTTGAATTTTCTCAATGCTGATGAGAAAGGAACGACAGCTGCAGAGAGACATTGGATAGAAGAAAAAACTCCTGAGCTAAATCAACCTGTTTACTTCCAAGATATGTTGACATTGGAATGGAAACCAGGATACATCCTATGTTGGGGAAGGGGTTTTGCTTTTGTTTCTGCAGGAGAAGAAAAGCTATGGATACCAGCAAAATTAATAAAAATGTGATTCAAGCAGAAGAAACCACTTGATGAGGAGAAGTGATAGCTCATCCAATGATGTGTCAATTCCACAAGTTGTAAGGAAAAATCAACAAACAAGGGTTGGGGCAGGGTTTTGTGTAGATGTAACCAACCGTCTTATTAAATAAGAAACACAGAAACAATGTAAAAGAGAAAGCCGAGAGGTCAGAGCTCAGAGCTAAAATCTCACCCTTCTGCCTGCGGTGTCCCAGCTTCCCGAAAAGAGAGCTATTTCCTGTCTGTTCGTCTATTTATAGTATTTTGTTCTGCCTTCTCATT